TTCTAACATTGGATATGTCACAATCTATTCAATCACCTCTTTAAATATCTTTTTTTCAAGACAGGGTCTTGCTATGTAGTTTAGGCTAGCCTTGAACTCATGAGGATCCTCCTGCCTTAGCCTCCTGAGTGCTGGGATTATAGACGTGTACCCACACACCTGGCCTTTTTGGTTTGGTTTTGTTTGGTAGATAATAGTGTAGGGCCAAGGATATAGCACAGCGGCACAGCACCTGCCTGGCAGGCGCAAGGTCCTGAGTTTGATTTCTTGTACAAAAAAAAAAAAACTACAGTGTAATGACTATGTGATCTCACTTTTGTGTACTTGTCCAGTTACTTCCTTTGAACAACTTCCTAAAGGATATTTACTTACATGTTGAGGTCTTGATTTTATTAATCTGTATTGCCAAATTGCTTCAGAAAGCTGTCTACCAATTCTCTCTCACCAAAACTCTAAAAATATTTGTCCCCCACCAACCCTGCATGGTATTGCTCACCTCTTCCAACACTGGAAGGTGAGAAGATTATTAGTTTTGTTGCTGTATAGCAAATCACCACAAAGTTAGTAATTTAAAACATATTTTCTCACCATTTCTCTGAACCAGGAGCATTGAACCCTTCCTCTACCCTACCATTTCTCAGGGGTGCAGTCACCATGTTGGCCAGAGCTGGGGGCCCAATGGGGGCTCAAGAGAAGGAGGTTCACCTCCAAGCTCCAAGTGGTTCAGTTCCTTTGGCTTGCCGAGTTGAGAGAGTCTGTTCCTGCTGACGGTTGGCCCAGGGCTGCCTCTGCTTCCTGCTGCTCTTTTCTCTCCAGCTTGGCAACTTGATCCCCAAAGCCATCGCAGGAGATGGTCTGCTAGCAGGGGAGAAGTTAGATGCTTGTGTGGTCACCCAGGTGATAGACCCTGGATACTGTAGTACGCTGACAGTTTAAAGGAAGTGACTGAGGCTATACTTTCGGGGATCATTTCTATAGTATGTTACTAGAGAAGTTTCTCTGAGCATGTAGAGTACCAGAAACCACGAGGAGGAGGCGCAGCGTTCCTTCCTGAGCGTGAAGCAACACCGGCTCTCGGTGATGCTTTGCTTCAAGTGCCGCTTGCCATTGATGATCGTTCTTGCTTTCTCCTTTGAGGGAGCAAGAGGGAAGGAACACAGCCTGAGTGGCTAAAAAAATAACAATAATAAAGGAAGTGACTTAGAGGAGTGGGATTGCACAAAACTGTGGCAACCAGAAGGCGGGGTCACTGGGTTCTACTCTAGGAAATGCCCACACACACACAGTCTGCGCCTCGGTCTCCAAAAGCTTGTGTCACTTCATGTGCTAAACACATTCATCCTCTCCTAAAGTCCCAGCAACTTTCAAAGTCCGCAGTCTCATCACAAAATCAAGCCCATGATGGTCACGGTGATTCAGGCCTGTAGCCCCAACCACTCAGGAGGCTGAGGCAGGAGTTCCAGGCCAGGATGGACAGTATAAGCAACAAAATAAGACCCTGCTTCAAAATCTGTCCTTCAGTCAGTCCATCAGTCAGGCCCCATGCGGTGAAGGCGCCTCACATGAACTACATCTCCCGGAGCACAATTCCTCAAAACCTGTGGGCCTCCAAAATCCCAGGCAAGTCTTCCTCCCACACGTACTCAGCGTATGCTGGCGCTCGAGGCAAAAAAAACCAACTACGGATATCGCCGTTCTAAAGAGTGGCAAATGCGGGTGTTATGTTTGTTTGTGTCTAGTTGTTTCCCGAAGCCTAATGCAGTCATTGGGGTGGCTTCTACACTTTGTGATTAATTCGTGATCCATTGTTTGGATTTTGGGTGTGTGTCTACACCCGCGCTGGGGCAGATGGCCGGAGTACAATATAAGGAAGGGAGAGAAGCTTGCCGCTGCTGCTGCCACCTCCTCTGCTTCTCCCTTTATGCTCTTTACTGCTTTGCTGTTTTCTGCTGCCGTGAGCAGCTGCCCTCTGCCCTCTCTGGCTGTGGGCAGCAATTCATGGTGGTGCCCCTCTGACTTGGAGCCAGATGACTGAGTGTGGACTGAAACCTCCACAAACTGTGAGCTAAATAAAACTTTCCTTCTTTCATTTGGGGTGTCACATATTTTGTCCCAGAAACGAGAGAGAAGTAACCAAGACAGGGGTCACAGTGGCATCAGGGCTCCACAGCAATGCTGAAACACAGCTCCACAAATGGTGGGAGGCTCTTGTTTGGTTCCAGTTGAAGAATAATTTTCTATGCTTCTTGGCTGCATCTTCAGGGGTTTATCTCTACCTGAAGGACCCCCTTCCTATCTCATGGAAAGCAGCGTAAGCGTGAAGAGGAGTGTTTTCACTCTTTCCTGTTACTAGCCTTTTTAGTTTCTTTTTATCTTTTCTTTGCTTTTTTTAAAAGCCAGCTAGAATTTTGGAAGTCCAAAATGTCTTTTTTTTATTTGCTACTCTCTCTGTCCCTCTCAGCCCAATTTGCGGTGTTTCGGTGATAGACTTTTCTCAAAACCTTTCTGGGCCTTCTGGGAATTGCATGAGGGCTCACCACTTTTCCCTTACTGAGACAAAACACCTAATGCCCAAAGTTAAAGTGAGAAAGGTTTACTTAGCTCACAGTTTGTAGAGGTTTCAGACCATCATTGGTTGGCTCCAAGGCAGAGTGGTACACAGCACAGAACAGCAGTTCATGGCAGCAGAAGACAGCAAAAGCAACAAAAGAGGGAGACTAGCTTTTCTGTCCCTTACCTTGCATCCAGTCTACTGAGATGAGAGTGGTGCCAGTCCAGTCAGTGGACTGATACATAGCAATCACCCATCCTTAGTTGCGGTGTTGCTCTATGAATCAGTCATGCACTCTATAGATTCAGCCACCTCCACAAAAATCCTATGACCACATGACACTTTTGGGGGGACATCTAGACACAAACCATAACAACCACATTGGCTAAAACTCACATCCAGGGGCCCTGCCCCTTAGCTCAGTTCTTTAAGTGGCTGCTTCAACAAAGCAGTCATGCCTAGGTTGCTGTGGTTCGATCCCCACAACTCAAGCCAGCCAAACCTGCCCTGAAGGCATTCGGAGAAAAAAAAAAAAAAACTCACAGCCAAGTCTAGTGTGGGTAAGACCTCTACCTTGGGCTCCTGTTCATTTTACTGAAGACCAACCTTCCTCGAACTTCCTAGACCATCTGCGGCTTCACCTTCTGAATCTCTTTCCAGGTCTTTCTGTGTGAATGAGTGTTCTGGTTCTTTTATCTTTCTGTGATTTTATCAAAAAGTTACACAGCCACCCCCTCAACTTTTTTTCTTGGCTACTTTTCCTAATGATACTTAGGAGCTATTTCAGTGCTAGCATCTTCTCCCATCTGAAGAAACAGAATTTTCAAAATCAAATCCTAACCTTCTATTTCATAGTTCTGTTGATTTATTCCTTTCATCTTGCATTTTTACCATAAGTATTAAGAAACCCAATGGCACTTTCAACACCTTGCTTGGAAATATCCATTGTCCTATATCCAAGTTCATTGTGGACACATTCTGCTTTCTACATAATTGCAGGAAACACTTGATTTAAGTTTTCTGCTGCTGCAACAGCAAACAGAAACACTGAAACAATGCTCAGGACTTGGAGGCAGATTTATCTAATGTTGGATGGGCACAGATGGGGAATTAATTGTCCCTCAAAATGCCAGGCCTTGAAGGCCCTGGTAAGGAGGTTTTTCTGGAGTTGCAAAGGAGGGGGAGGGTAACAGAGATAAGAGTACTTGGCTGTCTTTAATTGGTTCTTACACTATGTATCATAGACACCAGCTATGCACCACAGTGATCAGTCATTTCTAGGGAACAGAAACAACCAGAACTGCAAAAGACACTGTTACCTGAGCAACTAAGAAACTCAAGTATACTGGCCGGGGAAGGTGTGTGTGTGTGTGTGTGTGTGTGTGTGTGTGTGTGTATGAGGATTTTGTGTTACATAACAAAAATATACCTCTTCCATTTCCAAAACATGTTTCTTGGTCTTTTTTGAGCTTGGGAATGTCATTAAAGCCTGTACTTCAACTAATAGTATTTTCAGAGTAATCTCAACTTTTTCAGGCTCTTCAAGTCTTCTGGCCTTGACCATGCCTTGGTCTCAAACCCATATCCACATTTTTAGCAGCATCTCTCTCCCAGGTTCCAAAAAACCCGGATCAGTTACCTACCACTGTGTAACAATAGTACTGCAAATTTAATAGCTTTAATAACACTGTACTGATAGTTTCCATAGGTCCAAATATGGGCACAGCCTAACCCACTTCTATATTTTAGGGTCTCCCAGAAAGCATTAAGCAGCAGTGGAGTCTTGCTAGATGCTAAGCCAGGGAGGGGTCTATTTGTAAACAGGTGAGACTGCTGGCAGGATGCATTTGCTTCCAATCATTACCTAACGCTCTTGCTTTCTTGCTGGCAGCTGGTGAGAGGTCAGGCTCCATTTTTTGCTACATGGTGTCCCCACAGAACACCAATTCACCAAGGCTGGGGAGATGGGGTTACAGTCTTGTGAGGCATACTCACAGCAGTGACAACCCATCCTCTTTTGTATCACCATTCGATCAGAAGGGAAACAGATCCCCCATTCTCAAGGCGAGGTGATGACACAGGGTGTGAATACTATGGGAGAGCTTAATAGAGCCGTCTTAATGTCTGCTCCACAAAGCGCGTCAATTAGAGATTATCTTTGCATCAAGTGTACACAGCCACTGTCTTTCTACTCACATCAACAATATGAATTATTCTCTTAAATATGTTCAGGGTGGGGCTGGTGAGATGGCTCAGTGGTCTAAAGCACCTACTTAGAACAAGCTTAGCAAAGCACAGGGACCGTGGTTCAATCCCCCAGCACCACATGCCAGCCAGCCCCGCCCCCTGGTGGGCTGAGCTGGACACACACACACACACACACACACACACACAAATAAATAAATAATTTTAATTAAATAAATAAATATGTTCAGGGTAGTTACCATGTGCTAGGCATTATACTAGGTGTAGGATACAGTACAACATAAGCAAAAACACACAGCTCTTGTTTTTAAGGAAATTACAGTCAGAAAAGGAGAGAAACCAATTAGAGGAATCAATGTGAAATTACAATTTTGACAAATATTTTGAAAAGTTCGTGGTGTTATGAAAATATATAGCCTGAGGAAGTGACCCTAGTTAGCAGTAGAGCACATCTCCTGGAAGAAAATGACACTCTATTTGAAATGTCTAAAATGGGCAGCAATTAACTAAGAATGCAAGGAAACGAACTGTATACTCAGGGTCATTCGTGACTACTCCCTCCTCTTGAATCTCTCTCTCTGAATCCCACAGACTTTATTACGTATAAAGGTTCACTGTAATTCAGACATACCATATTCAAGGGATGGGAGCTGGTCCTCAAGCCTCTCTCTTGGCAACATCTTAACTCATCCCTCAAGATGTAACCATGCTAGGGGCAGTGATATAGCTCAGTGGCTCAGCACTTGTCCAGCAAGTGATGTCCTGGGTTTGATTCCTGACACCAAAAACAAAAAAAGACTTAACCAAGTTGCATGTGAAGCACTTTGGAGCTACCTCATCAGCCCTGTTACACATTCACCTCTGTGATGTAGACTTCAAGACAGCATGTAGGACATCTATTAGGATGTACTCATGGAATCCAGGGGAAAGAGAAGGAAGCTGGATTGGGCAAAAGGAGAACTAAGTTGAGACACAGCCCCAACTGTCCTCAGCCAACCCATGGAGTGCCCTGGAGCTAGGAAGCTCCTAGGGATTGTTCCAAGTTTGAGCAACAAGACATGCCCCAAACCTAGTCAGTGGATGGTCAGTATCCTGAGGAAGATACGACCTTGGTTGAGGAAGTTTTTCTCAGTACTTGCATGACAGCTAAGTGTTGTCTTCTGATAACACTCTCCGTAGTGAGGCACAAGTCCCTCATTCCTGAAGGGACATTGGGAGGTAGATCACAGCGCCTCCTGTGATCCCCAAGCTTGGTTCAACTTTGAGCTACAGCATGTGCCCCTAATCAGCACTAGGTTTTGAGATTTTTGAGAGCAGATACCATGCACTTAAAGCAGAAAGTTGGAATTTAACAAAACTCTGTGAAGAAATGGTTGAACAAATGATCTATGGAGCCCAACTGCTGGATACGAAT